TAATCGTCTAATGGGTTGACTGGTGGTATTATTACCCAAAATGGGCAAGGGTTCAACCCTAAACCCTAAACCCTAAACCCTAAACCCTAAACCCTAAACCCTAAACCCTAAACCCTAAACCCTGAAACCGAAACCCCAAAGCCCCCGGAGCCTGCAACCCTTGTCGAACCTGAACCCTGAAGAGTTTAGGGTTTAGACGGTTTAAGGTTCAGGGTTTAGAGTTTAGGGTTTAGGGTCTAGGGTTTAGGGTTTAGGGTTTAGGGTTTAGGGTTTAGGTTTTAGGGTTTAGGGTTTACGGCTTAGGGCAAACAGTCACCAACACCATTCCTGTTGGTTCCTTGTTGCGAGAGCCTATTCCGACTATCAGGGCTCGTCAAGTGGAGGGTTTTCACACCCTTCACGCTTGTAAGTCCTAACAGCCTACAGTCCTCAGACAAAATGTTAGTGTTCTAGCCCCGCAGAAGACTAAACGACAAAAACTCGAACTTAAACACCGAAATGCTTCGCAGAAGGTGCCCCGGGCGTGCAGCGCTGTGCCAGCGCCTCCCTTGTGAGGCTCCGAAGCTTATGCCTCCATATACAGGGTTTTAGGGTTTAGGGGTTTGGGTTGTAAGTGTGCTGTTGAGAGCATTTTTTGTAGACCCTACCCCAACCGGAGGCCCTAAACCCAAAAGCCCTAAAGCCCTAAAGCCCTAAAACATCCTAAAGCCCTAAAGCCCTAAAGCATCCTAAAGCCCTAAAGCCCTAAAGCCCTAAACCCTGAAACCCCAAACCACCCTAAAGCCCCCGACCCCAAGCCCTAGACTCAACCCGAAGCCCTTGTTCGGACAGTCTTTCGGCCTTTCGTGTCTTGAGCTAACTGCTCCGTTGTTTAAAGGTCGCATAGGTCGAGTGAAATTAATGGTTAGTATAATACAGTAAAGTGAAGTATCGTGAAAGTACACCACGCCACATGTCCAATTCAAGTCATCATGAATGGTACGAAGTTCGCTACAAGCAAAAAATCTTCTTGCTATGTTCTTTCTCTTTTTTTCGTAAATGTATTCGCCATCAAAAACAATCATCGTTTGATTGCTGATACCGTTCGACAGGGTGCGGCGTGAGTGCCTCTAAAGCCTGAACCCTCAACCCTGATAGAAACTTTGTGTAACCTTCGGGAGCCTAGAGAACCCGAAACCCTAGACCCTCCTACACCCTTAACCCTAAACCCTACAACCTGCGAGCCCTAAACCCCGAACCCAAAACCCTATACCCTAAAGTCCGAGAGCGCCGTTGACCATGTGCATGGGCGCTCGAGACTACGAGTCTCATCAGAACGGTGAGGGAGGGTACTTGGAGGATCATGGGACTTAGTAAGTAAGGTTATAACTGCCTTAATTGGGGTTATAATCGATTATAAGTATAGTTACCTTATTTTTAACCCTAGTTACTAAGTCCCATGATCCTCTAAGTACTGTAAAGCCTCCCGGTATACGAGGACTGT